ATTAATTTTCAAAAAGAAAACATTTTACAATAATAGGAATAAGGCTTAGATCTACTGTATTTTGGGGTAATCCACAGAGTGGAAATCACAGTGTCCATCGGTAAAACACAAAACAGTTTGTTCTAGGATGCAACAGATATTTTATAACTTTCCCCAGCTCTGAAGCTCAACACTCATGACTTGTTGGCCTTCAACCTGCCACTCAAAGCTCACACAGATTATAAGTGGAATTCAACAGCATATTGTGCAGTACATGGCCAGCATTACACCACACCATTTCCGATTTCAGACCAGGGACATGTAGGATCAAATTATAGCTGACAACTAACCAGTCTTCATTTGATTTGTTTGAAAAGATGCTTTCCACCCCTATCAACACAATTTTGGTCATGTAGGTGCCAAGACCACAAATTGAGGATGAAACTTTCACCTTAGCCCTTCCGTGTTCGTATTCTTCACCAACAATGGTTGCCCATCTGCTCAATTTCTTGTGCATGAGCAGCCTTCCAGTGTTCACACTGATTTAGACTTAATGGTAGTAAATGTACATTCTGACTGCTGAGCCCCACTCTGATACACTTTCTCCACTAGAAAGGAAAGCAGAGCTACAGCTTAACGTCAGTGATGCTTTTATCATAGCCAAGCTCATCATTAAGAAAATCGTGCGGGAGAAATGAGGTGCGTGCCCTGACAAGTTTCAGTAGGGTTGTACACTGACATGGCATTTTTAGTGGCTGCTTTTAGTTGGGCTGAACACCAGCACTTCATTTTCTTTTTAACCGGTTTTAGCAAATCAGACAAGCTCACAAAATATAAAACCTGACAGTTTGTGATAGCCAAGTATCAAAAAAGCACCCAGCACTTGCACAAAAGTGTAAAAAAACAAACCCAAAAAGCAAAGACTGTCATGGACAACAAATAGTGATAGAAACAGACAACATTTGGACGGAGGAGGCATTGAGCACTCTTGCAGTGAAGACTTCAGAGACTTTGCTCTTCCAATATCAAGATCACAAGACACAGTGCATATCAGCACTGGTGTGCGTACTTATCTTTCGGGACGTTGACCCCAGCCATCTGAACACTGTTTATTAATTAGGATACACAAAAAATACGGTTGAGCTTTGAATGAAACGAAAGATATATAATGTACAAGTTACAGGTTCATTAGTGCTCAGCTACATTAATCTTGAAAATATCTACATATAGATAGACAACTGTGGACAAAATCCACAGGTTCAGGCAGTGGAATTGAAGGAAATAAAAGAGAAAAACATAATAACCTCTTGTAAGAAGAGTTCATTGGCCTATATATTAGATACTACCCTCCAATGCCAAAATACCTGGTTAGTGTAGATATGGGATATCGTTTGTTGATACGCCTTTTTTTTTTTCAGTTCACAGCTTAAATTAGAATAGCTTTAAATATCTAAACAAACAGTAGTCTATGTCTTTAAAAGGCAAAGCAGATCACTTCAAAGGAAGCACCTTCATTCTAATTAAATAACAGAAGAGTGATGAAATGGAAACCTGTACAGCATACAATACTTCTTCAGTGTGGGTTAGTAAATTAATTGAAATCACAAAAAAATCCTTTTTGTGTACCACAAGTGATAAGTTATACTTGAGCTTCCACAAAACTGAAGAAGTCAGCTTCAAGCAATGTACAATTTTGGCTCTTACAATATACACAGCATCTATTTTGAAAAAAAAAAAAGGAGTTTTCCCATTTGACCTTAGCCAACATCCTTATGACCACTGCTGGAAAATCACGATCCCTGTGATTAATCTTTTACTCAACAACTGACATACTTTAGATCACTAAGGGAGCATTTAAACTAGCCTGGTGGGGCCAACCCACACCGAGTGGGAAACAGCTTTCCACGAGAAAGACGGATATATACTGATAAAAATTTCTTCCCCTTGTGGGAATTGAGGTTATAGAATACAAAAGCGAAGACCTTAACCAGCTTTTCACTGGTGCTGGTATACCTTCTATGGAAAATAAAATAGATCTGGATGAGCAAAAACACAACGGTTCACGCCACGACATAACCGTAAACCTTAACATTAGAAACATTACAGTCTTCACCATACATGATTGCATTATGTGAGAAAAGTGTTTTATAAAATCAAATCACTCATCAGCACAGGAAAAAGTTAGAAGGGCAACAAACGTTGTGAGTCTCCAACTCTTTCTCTGCGTTCAACTCGAAGGATTTATATCTAGGATAAAGATAAGAGGCAAATCTGATATCAACATTTCACTGCACACTAAGATAGGTCATTAATATTGTAAATTCAACATCAGCAGTCACAGACCTATGAATCTTACATTCTCCTTCATTCAATGATCTGCGTTAATGTTTTACAGCCAAACCTTGCAAGGAATGCCACTTTTATATTTCAGCTGTAACAGAACATTTACACTCTCACAAGCACTTAATACACACTTTGGGGCAGACTGCACAAGCAGGTATTACATGCAAAATGGTTTTGTTTTAAGGAAAGAATAAATATTTTCTTGTAACAAGAATCTTCATTAGTTTAGAAACTAAATCCTGCATCTACTATACACAAAATATACAGAGGGCTCAAAGGACAGTGCATGATGCACAGCAGAGGATGTTATATACCACGATTACCAACAGATACATAAAAATAACATTACAAGTCTAAAATATAGAGACACAGACAACCAGGTACTGCAACAATGTTTGTGACATCAACGAATAACAAAATACATTTTTCGCAGTTACAAGCTCTATTTCCCTGTAACTTTTGGTCTTTTCATGCTGGTCACTAGCTAGCCTTACACCTAACAGGCACATCAAGCTATCACACAACAACAGTTTCTTTCACATCTCCTGTGCTATTTTGTTTACCACTACATACCTGTCCAAACTTTTGACCATGTGTTGATTGTCTCAGATCATTGCGAACAATACACATCTGACCTCTTCAGGACGCCTATCATACTTTGTTTTTAGTCCAAATAATAAAGACTTTTAGACTGCTTTTGATTTTGAGAGAGAACATTGGATGTAAATGTTTGGATGGCCATAAAAGAGTGATGAAGAAGCCATGAGTTATGGATGTGGATGAATGTGCAGAGACTTAACGTCGTGCAGAAATGTAGCAAATCCACCCAAATTTCCGTGTCACTGTGCCTCTCTGTAGCAACTAAAACATAATGTCACTCCAGAACTTACAACCCAAAATCGAGTAGTAAAGAGTGTGCTAATGATAGGGAAATAAATTAAACACAGACTGATTCAACAATAGTTGGAGACAGAAAGTTCAGAAGTTATGCACAAGCTGACCTAAGTCACAAACAAACAAATCACAAAGTGCAATGAACCACTGTCGAAGCAGTACACAGCCGTTGTGATCACCAAAACTTTCGAAGAGGGCAACAAATTAAAAAAGAAAAAAAAAGTACAAATAAGTATTGCTCTTAACTTTCAGAACTTGCAGATGAGAGTGGCATCGTCACTGATATATGAGCTCGGCACAAGTAAAAATTTCATCTCAAAAACTGAATAGTAATAAATGGCAAGGATAATATTAACAAAATGTACAATACAAAAAACTATTTACGAACAGAGACTCAGTTTGGAATGTTTTTCCACACCTCCAACACACCCCCCCCCACTCCATGTGTAATACACAGTTCAGTATAAATGTGTCATTTTAAGACATAATGAATTAAATTATTACACCCCCTCCCCTCCCGGATGAGTGAGAGTGATAAATGTTAATATATAAGGCCTATACACTACCTTCATTATCTTTTATGCACTGACAAAAGCTAACAAAGGCCACTTGGTAGGCAAGATGGCCTCTATTTATTAAAAAAAAAGGAGTAAAGCAAAACAAACCAGAATATGTACAAATAATTTACAACATAACTAAATGCTACGGTTACCACATAATGGATGAGACATGTATTAAGCTTGTAACCTGAAGACATTTCCGGTAAATTTTGGCAGCAGAACCAGGAAAATGCCATCCTCCCTATGCAATCCATGTTTCAGTCATGTGTTCTATGTGTGAAAACGAGTCAGTAAATTTATATTGTAGCTGTGTGTGTGAGTTGATATCTTCCTCTGCAGGTATAGTAGCAACACAAAGAATGTACACATTTCACACACACAGTCAGACACAGGTAACACTAACACGGAAAACTCGAATCGGAATCACAGAGAGCTCATACAATGTGCCATTCCCTGATTGATATCTCTTTAATATTCCATTATACTGTTTACCCAAATTATGGATGTGTTGAAATGTCTATCAAGCCCTACTGTGTTTGAATTATCTGTGCTTGACTGTATTTAACTGTATACGTATATGGAAAGAGCATCAAGCACATACTTATAAAAGTGCAAGTATGTACTGATACGCTTCAAAAGAGTAGAGGAATGTAAAAAATCCAAGTTCCCAACAAAAGTGATAACAACGTTTGGATCCTGAAAAATGCCTTTTTATAATAGAAAAATGGGTAAGAAAAATACCAAATCCTGCCCTACAGTCTATGGATGACCCAAAAAATCACTCATTGAAAAATTTAGTGGGACGCACTCTGATTCAAACTAGTGTCACTACATAGGATATTAGACAAATCAGGACTAAGATTCAAAGACATGGATTTCTTGATCATGTTTGGATGCGGGGGGGGGGATTCAATAAGTAACTAGACTGTGTCTGTATGTCAAACTTATATGTTTTTGTGGAAGTGAGGGTGCCCTACCCAAATGACAGTAAGCAACTGATACCTTGCTGCGGATGTCACACGTATCTACCAAATCAGAATTCACGTTATCCTCACTGTGGTAACTCTTGATGGTATGACTGAACGTTAAAAGTCAGTGATATAATATGAAAACCTAGGAGCCATATTCATTATCAGCTAGGACCTGCTCAGAAACAACGTAATTAGCCATGAATCATATTTTCTCATTAACTTACCTTGAAAATTAAAGTACAAATGCCATAGATTTTTTTTGCATAAAACAAAGTAAGGACTCAAAAACTAAGCTATTAAAGGAAACGAACACAAAAATATGACTCACAGCCAAATACGTCATCAACCTACCAAATGTTGAGGAGTTACAGGCTAGTCAATAATGAATATAGCATAAAATCTAAATGGTTGAAAAATATACGGACGGAATGTTAGAATAAAGTTCTTTACATCAACCAGACGAAACCACTGGTGCTTGATGAGTGAATTATGATTGGTCAGTAACACATGCTGGGAGAGTCAATCTCATTGTAAAACCAACAACTTCAACCCATATGACAGGCCCTCTTAACCTTGCTGCTTCTGTTGAAAAGACGATGACTGGTATTTCCTTTTCGAACAAAGGAAAAAAAACCACAAGGTGAGGAAATCTGTGAGAAAACTTCAATGCGATGATGCTTGTTGATCACTCTGTGAACAATGCTGACGAAGTTGGTGAAGATGAGAAAAAAACGAGGTCCAGTTTGTATCACATTAATCAAATACTGCTTCGAGCTCCAGTCATTTTCAGTAATGCCTGTGCCCCAAAGGGCGTCGAGGAACATGTTCGTAGCGAGAAAACTCCCGAGGGTACGATGGCGGCTCTGGCGCATAATATCTCGACATTTCTCGAGGTCTGAGCGAGTGGGGCACCATATCATCGTAATAGTCGTCCACCTCAACTCTCGGGCGTGGAGCTCGCTGCTCCAGTCCTAGTCAGGATTTCCGTCCTTGAAGAGCTGCCAGACTGCTTGAGGAGATGGTGCCGTAGGCCTGAGAGTAGCTGCCAAACACAGCCTTGGGAGCACCACTGCTGGGGTTGTTCATGGCATTGCTGAACTGCTTACGTCCGTACGCCGGTTTTGACCGCGGGTTGTGGGCAGAGGTGGGCCTTTGACCTGGGACCTGGATCAAGCAAAAACAGAAAGAAAGGTGTTCTTTTAAATTTTATTCCCCTTTCAGCTCAATATCTCCAGTCAGCTTACTCAGGGAAGTCAGTATGTCTACTGATTAGATACAACATTCCTGTTTTTGTCTCGTTTTTTTAATTCATCATTAATATTTGCTTATGCACTACAAAGGTACCCTCATACATCAAATCCTCATTCTTTTCTAAACATTCTGGAGTGTAAAACAAGCTTCCAGCTTGAAACCTATCTTTTTATGATGAAAATGATATTTTCTATTCAGCTTAAGCTCTATAATAGAGAATAGGCCTACTATTCATAAGAGTTAAGAGGAACAGATTAAAAACCTATTTAGAATTGTACTTTCTTAAACATGTTTGCTACTACATAGCCTGCTCTTGACTCCAGTGTCATTCTATGTGAGAATACAAGGTGCTCAAGAAATCTGAGGGAGAAAAATATTTTTGTATTTTCCTGCTTCTTCTCAAAATATGATGTGAATAACATCCATCCCATGTATGCAAGGATTAAATCCTGTCAGGAACAGTATCAATTTTAAAAGACTATTCAATGAAGCAAATCAATGAAAAAGGATGAAAAAGTTCCTCAAAGGCAAACTGAAAGTCATCAATGATCACAAAGTGAAAAAATACGGAAGACAAAGTGTGTGATTGCGGGTAACTGTATAAAGAAAGACTTTAGGTGCTTTTGGATTGGAAATAAAAAGAAACCACTGCCACAGGTAAACAAACCAGTAAACATATACTGCCTGACCAGAAGCAAAATCTGAGATAATCTCTCTGTTTCAAAAGTCTAAACATGCAGACGAAACAGGTGCCCATCTGTTTTTATTAACAAAACAAACCCACTCAAAGTCCAAACCTAGTACTTATTATAATATAGTGTAAAGCGCATAGAGCCTGCTGTTGAGCGGGGATATGCGCTATACAAATGCTATTTATTATTATTATTATAAACAATAAACCGTGACAAAATAAAACACTATACTGACTGCCAGGAAATACTGTATCTAATTCTAACTTTTCCCTTGTGTGGAACATTGGTACTTCCTAACAGCCCGAAGCAGGAGATGCCAATCCAATACCATACATGTATATCAACCGTAACAGTCGCAAATTGTGAATGTCTGGAATTTTTACTTTAAAAGAAAACACTGTAGGAGTGTCAAGCACGCCAGAAAACAAATATATATACATTTTGTGCCAACATGTCTCCAAATTTTTGCTTAGTATACTTTTACTATACTACAACTACAACCTGATCCAAGGGGATTTCCTTGCAAAATTTTCTGACAACGATGAAACAACTAAATTTCACACTGACATGGAATGCAACTATTACCATCAATATGCTAGCCATGGAAAGCTGAGGTAGAAGTAGTAGGTGCATAGTCATTCACTAGCAGCAGGAAAAAAGTTTAAAACAAAACAAAAAGATACATCACTCGCAGGGCAAAAAATACAAACTTATTAAAATAATGACCTTGTAAGCTAGAGGAAAAAAACCCCCCGAAAACAAACAAACAAATAAAACAAAATCGAAGAGAAAAAGCACTTACCATCCGTGAGCTGGCCACCATTAAGCCATTTCCCCCACCATTTCCTCCCCGCTCGTCTACCCGAGTAATGGTTGGGTTGCTCTGAGCTCTGTGCACACCCGACACAGGTCTTCCCTGTCCTCGCATCGCGGCCGGGGCGGACGTCTGTCGGCCCTTCTAAGTCAAAGGGAAGAGAAAAACAAAATTATCATATCTATATCAACGACTCCTTAGAATAATGATGATAATAAAAATTAAACAGCATTTGCTCATGCAAATTCCTGCTCAACAGCAAGTTCTATGCACTTTACAATCTACCCCAGCATACCTACAAGCAGTGCCTACAAAAGTTACTGAGGATCAGATAGAGAGACAAGGTCACCAACAAGGACATGTTAAGGAGAACAAGACAGAGCCCAGTGAGAGATGAGGAGGGAAGAAGGTGGTGACGAAGGATAGAAAATACTCTCAGGAAGTCAAGCAGCTGCATAACAAGAAAAGTGTTGGATTGGAACCCACAGGGTAAAAAATCAAGAAGAAATCCACGTGGAACCTGGAGAAAAGTCACAGAAATCGATGTACAGAAAAATGGGAAGACATGGAATAACATCAAGAGGCCAGCCCAGGAGTGGGAAAGGTGTTTGTTCATTGCCTATACCCTGACCCAGGGTGAGAAAGGCAATGATGAATACCTGTTAGCATTCTGAAGCAATCTCAACTTCCTGGGCAGCATACAGTTAGTAGGCAACTAAAGTTAGCTCAATATTGGGGATTTATTCACCTGAGGTAAAGAGGATGGTGGAGGCAGTGTTCACAAGTCATACAATTTAAGGAACATTGAATTTATCCAGATTTCTGACGAGTGAGGAATGGGATGTTTAAATATGTAAAAATCACATTAAAGCAGGCTCGGCAAAACACTACACTCTGACAACCAGTAATAATGTCTCTTCCCTACGTGTAATTTTAAGACATAATGAATGAGCGGAGTGCAACTTTATATAATGCAAGGCTTGTCTAATGTGCTCCTTTTTAAAGAAAAACATATCACAGTTTGGGGAACAATCAATTTGTTTCTTCTTTTAAGGTATTAATATATACTTTCCCAATCGATTTTAAAAAACAACATTATATACATTTGAAGGGCAGCATATCAAACAGCAATCAGATACCTGAATGTCAAACTGATTGAGCACAAAAGAAAAATTCTATCAAGTTGGTGAAAGACACGATGACAGAACAGCTTACCCCATTGGTCGCTTGTGATGACTGGATATTTTCACAACTCCTTTGTCTGGACAGTGCCTTCTGTCTCTGAGGTCCAGGTGGTGGGTGGTCATTCGATGCAGTTCGCCCAAATGCTGCATGAAAAAGAAAATGCGTGCAAATCACCTCGTTGCTAATACAGGATGTCAATACAGATATTTTAAGGACTTTTCATAAATGTTTTACACTCCCGAATCAACATAATTTAAATCATTCCAGAAAAAGGTTGCTTCAACCTGATAGTTAGAACGACACTGACAGTAGGGAACTGGAGTACCTAAGCAAAATGACAAAGAAGACACCTACTAAAATGCATATTTCCTCATGCAGAAATGGAAACTTACATTTTCTGCATGACAAGGGTAGAGACAAATCATTACACCACAGACGTGGGCAGATGATCCGATGAAGTGTTGAGAATATTATACATTCTTTCAAATTTGCCTCTATATTTCGAGACAGTAACTGCACTTATTTTGCACATATGCCAAGTAGTTTGAAGTAGTATGTCATACCAGGTGCAGACTGATTTTAGTAACCAAAATCTCTCTCTCTCTCTCTCTCTCTCTCTCTCTCTCTCTCTCTCTCTCTCTCCCAATTTATTAACCAATTTACTTTGTCAATAAACTTGTTATCTGAATACAGCACCTCGAATCAGACATGACTCAGAAGATTTTACATAGGCACTGTTTTTCAAACATATCTATTTATAGATTTCTTTTTTAAACAGGGAAGGATAGTTCAATCAAGATTACAACTCATGAAAGTCACTCTGTCCACAAGGGAAGTTCAATCAGTCAATAAAGAAGACATCAAATACATTAGGCTACCACATTGGGTAAATGTTCTCATCCAACTTGACTATATCGCTACCTTAGAATTATAAAGTTCTATCGGCGCAGTACCTAGTTTTGACAAATTATTTGACGTTAAAGATTTTGACTTTTAAAAAATGTTAAGCTTTTTTTAATGCAACTCTTTGAATATCTTGATAATGACTCTGAATCATCTTACGATATTGATAGAGCAGATATAACATTTGGTTTCTGACCTCATGGTCTTAGTAACTCAAAACGGCCAAAAATGTCAGATACAATTTTGTAATTCTGAGGTAGTGATATGTCTTCTCTGACCACATCGAGAACTAATTCTACCTGAAAATGAGGAATGATGCTGAGGGGGGTGCTCGCCCAGGGAACCGTATTTGTGGACAGGCTTGGGAGAGGGACGTTTGGGTGATGAGTGCATGTTCTCTTTGGGTGGCTGTTCGTGCACCATTTCCTCCTGTCTGTATTCCTCCTCCTGCTGTTGCTGCATCGCTGCACTGCGCGCTTCCTCCCTCCTTCTGCGTCGCCTCTCAGCCTTCTTCTGAATAATCATCTGGAAGAAATGCAATATTTTACGCATAAGACAATATACTCTTATTTTTTTAATCAAAAACTATACTTGGAAAAATTTCCACTATAAATTCTAGTAACAGTGTACCACTGAATCAAAAAAAATTAATTAAAAATAATGGGAGCACCATATTTCATTCTGAAATTTTAAACGACACAGCCAGTGCGACTGCAAAGGGGCCAAATTCGTGTCTGATAATTAAACTTGCACGCATCAATATCTGACAAAACCACAAAAGTAATAAAAGGGACCCAGTGTGACTAATTATATTGTAAACCACAAATGATTTGTCTTTTTTAAGGTCATTACATATAAAATCAACTTAAAGTGTTTATCAATAATGCTCACTTAAATCAGAATAGAAGTCAAAATAACACTTGATGAAAGCATAGAAACAATAACATACTGAACCCCTGATTTTCCCAAACTTAACTTGCAAACCTCCCCACAATTATAATTTACTATCAAAGGTATGAAGAGAAAGGAAACCTTTCTTTTTTATTCAATATTGTACCAAAGGCGCAGCCTTATTTCAATTCTATACTGGTTTCATTCTTTGTAACAGAAGGATACATTGGGAGATCTAGCAAACATTAAAGCCTTATATTGCCAACTTAAAAAGGGCTGATATACCATAAAACATTACTTACTTTTTCACCATTCAACATACTCAGATACATCTGTACTTTTAAAAGAACAGTAAAACAAACTAACAAGATAATGTAACTACTTCAGGGTTTGATTCTATTGGATCTTTCGCAAGTTGATTCCCAAGTGACAGGAGCTACTCACCTCATACAACTTGCTGCGGTACTCATCTACAGTTAGCTGAATGTCATCACTAAGGGGAGGAACTACATCAAAATTAAGGCTGATCTCCCCAGCTGGGTTGTGAAACCTGAAAGACCCAAACAGAAATCATCACAACATGTCATAAAACCAAAGCAGGAATGTCACGATGCAAAAAAGAGAAATTTTCTACTCACTGTCTTAAAAAAGCACAACAGACCAAAAACCAAAAAGATGAAAAGCTATATTGTCTGCAAATGAAGTCAGATGGGTGCACGGTTAACTCAGTTGGAATCATGCTCGACAATGGAGCGCATGATTCTCGTTCGAGTCCTTAATAGCCATTGTTTAACTTTGGTTGTTTTGTAGAGGTTTCAAGGCTCTCAACCAAATTGGCCCAGCCTAACCTGAGATTGGTGTTAAATTCAAAAGCCTCCACCTCTGAAATGGACTGTACTGAAGGGGGCATTAGACTCTTTCACTTACACTTTACGAATTCAACCACCATTGATCACTCACCTCTGAACAAAAGGATGTCGGAGCGCCTCATCCGCTGTTATTCTTTTGTCGGGGTTAAAGTGTAACAACTTTTTCATCAGGTCAGTTCCATCAGCAGGAGAGTCAGGCAGCAAGTCGTCAAAGGACTTCCTGTGTCTGACGAATCAAAAGAAGGGGTTAGAAAAAGAATGAAGACGAGCACTTCAACTGCACAGGTTACCAAGTGTACCCTTCTAATTCATTTCTTTTCCAAAAGAAAAAAAAAGCACAAAGAATTCACTTTAAGTATGAACAGTGAACAAAGAAAAACAAGCACAATCCTTGATTCCTCCACTAAATGATGGTACATTCAAATAGCAAAAAATACTCTCTGTAGTTTTGTTGGTGTTTTTTTTTTTATAGTAGAGGGTTATATGGCGCTCGCAACTGCATAAGGTCATATGAGCTCAAGGGGGGTGGGTGTCAACAGAGAAGTCTTTACAGGGAATCAGACTTAGACTGCTCACCTCTCTAGCTTCAACAGCACAAGGTCTGCTTCGACTATCAAGGCACCCCAAAATAGCAGGTCACAAGAGAGTGACAAACATACAAAAAAAGTAGAGGGAAATGACAATAGTAAGGATCAGGAAAGAAAAAGCTGCAGTTCCCTGTTGTAGATCAGGCATAGTTATGAGCGTGACATGAGTCAGCCCATTTACAATTCTACTATGCTTGAACAAGAAATATCCCCCCTTTAGGAATGGCCTAAAGACACTACAGTCAGTGGCACTGCCCCAGGGGTTTTTCTGTAGTTTGAAGGACAAAACTATCTGGCACACAAAAAACACTGCCAATACAGGTAAAAATATCATACTTCATTCAGCATTTGTGGCAGAAATAAAAGCTTACCTTCCAGCTGCTGATGCTGCTTTCTCTAATACTGATGCCCCATACGAGGATTTCAAACTGTCTATATCTGAAAAACATCAAATCAAGGCATATCTGTAAGATAACCCGCAGGAAAAATTCAAGCTCTCTAAATTTAAGAGCTTAAAATCTATGTTTATTTATACACGTCTTTACATGCTGCACAACAACTTTTACCTTCCTGTACGAAGAAAAAAGAAGCTAATATTGTTATAATTTAACATAAGTGTTCTGACAAACAATACGTATACAAGGTAAAAACCAAATACATTTTCAAAAGGAAACTGTCCATAATATTACAACTGTGCAAAATATAAATTGTGAGATACTTTCCAAGCATGTAACTGAAAAAATGCACTGCAGTAGAACATTTTATAAAAAAGTAAATGTTTATCCGACACTCTTTGACACTACAAAACATGCCACATGTCACTGAGACTGCAGCCATAAAACAAATCCTTCAGATTAGAAGTTGGGGTAAAGCAGTATTCCTCTTGCTCCTTTTTCTCTTGAAAGTATTATCAATTCTCCCACTGAAAAAGCTCAAGGGTATAAAATTAGATATCAGCACAGAATTTTGACTTTTCATTTTCACTTTCATTAGAGTATTTCAGCGAGATGTATCCCATTTAGCATAATGAAATAAAACAATCAACTTGAAAACTGTTTTGCTGAGTGTGGACCTCCCATTACAATCATAAGACAATCCATTAAAAACTTTTTCAGGTGAGTGAGTACCTACCACTACATCGGTCCTTTCGGAGATGGACGTTAACCTCATAACCTAAGAGTGGTAGTAGTGGCGTTAAACCTATACTACTTACCACTACGTGAGGGCGGTGGTATGGAGCCCATGATACGCTCTATCTGGTTCAGGGTTGAGGAACCTGGAAACAGTGGTTTTCCCAGCAACATCTCACCAAGGATGCAGCCCAAGCTCCACATGTCAACCCCTTTAGTGTAACTGCAGAGGAAAATAGAACATAAACAACCAAATGCACAGCTTTGGGCTTCCTAAGTTGAGCAACTGTTTTTGGCAGAATAGCAAACATATTTTAAACAGAAGCAAATTAAGACTGAGAAATGCAGAAAAAGACGAGGACAACCACAGTAGAATGTCCATTAACCACAACTTAAAAACTCAGATGGGGAGTGAGTGGGTAGTAAAAAAAAAAGAGCAGAAAGGAGAAAGAGGGGTTGGGGGGGGGAGGGAGAAGTGAAGAGGAGAATTAGCAACAAAACAATGAGAGAGGCAAAGAGAGGATAAAGGACAAAGCAGCAGTAAAAGACTAAGACTTAAGTCAATGTTAACACAATAAAAAAAAAAACACGCATACTTTTTCATCCTTCCTTACATATAGACCCGGATGACACTTGACAAAGAAAAACACAGAAGGCAAATAACATCAACTCACACAAATGCACGAGTCAACAAGCGAAACCCCAAAGCTGCCGAAATTCTGACAACAACATAGAAACTGTACACAAAATCAGCACAAACATATCAGAACACAGCAAGAGACATCTAATGCCTTACCGGTGTGAAGCAAGCAAAATCTCTGGAGCTCTGTACCATCTTGTAGCAACGTACTCGGTCAAGTTTGGATCACCAGCCTCATCCATTGAAATTTGAGTTAAAGAACGAGCCAGACCAAAGTCACACAATTTTACCACACATTCACTATCCAAGAGAATGTTTGATGGCTGAGGAGACAGATTGGTTTAAATTTGAAACTGCTTATTACTGTTTTCATCAGATAGCATTCAAGATTCTCATGAGATAACCACAGCCCTACCTCTGTTGAACATGGATCAAACCTATAGTTAAGTTTAGTACTGTATTGTTTACTTCTGACCTGTACTCCTATAGAGAGAAGAACGTTTATAGTTATATATAGTTAGCCACAGCTTAAAAGATATAGCTGTCTTAAAAATCATTTTGCATGAGGACAACAAAATAAAAAGACAAACTGAAGGGTATTTTGAGGAATCCTACTTTCTCAATAAGTCGATTCCCACAAATTTGTGGACTAATGTCTTTGATGCTTCAAACAGAGCCTATAATGTTCAATCAAAAAATCTCAAAGACTAAATATGTATGGTCAAAAATTCTCACCTTCAAATCTCTGTGAATAACATTACCACTGTGAAGGTATTTTGTCGACTTGAACAACTGGTACATGATGTAACGCTTATGTACATCTTTCAAAATATTGCCCCGCTTTATGACATTATGCAAGTCTGTTTCTGAAATAAAATAAAAAAGACAAGTATGACAAAAGTGTTGCAAACTTACCAGTATTTCACTGAACATGTCAGTCAAATCTCTGAAATAATTACTTTCCACTTCAGTATGTCCACACATCTTCCATACCCATTAACAGACTACCTTTCTTTATTTGTACAGAATAAACAAGGAGGCCTGCCCTCCTTAAACTTTCAACAACCTAATTGTTATTAGAGTGCAGCATTCACTATGGAGCTTCTAGTTCTTTGTCCTCCTCTTAACAAAAAAATAAGCTGGGATTTTACCTCCCCAAGGACACGATATGTGAAAACATATTCAGTATCAAAGTAGGTCATATACATGAGCAGCAAGAACTCCCTTCTAAATGAAAAAGCACTATGAGGCGACTTGGAAAATTCACTTTATACAGATGAACTGATGAAAACATGCTTGATAAAGAAAAACACAGAAGGTGATCTGCATTATTTTAGCTTAAATTGAGCAGATGAGATCACATTGACTCTTCTTCAGGGTCATTATGGGCTGATAGAACCAAGACAGCTGGAAGAAATAGTAAACTGATTTAAGAAAGTAAGACCAACTTCAAGACTATTTACCCCTGCATCCTTAGTCTTAGCATATGCATAACAAAATGAAACTTAAAGACACTGGTACTAATTTCATAAATAGAAATGTGATTTTAAAAGAAATCATACATTCAACAACAATAATAACATACTAACCCATGAACTCAAACACAAGATAAATATCTTTGTCATTCTCTGCTTTGATCACATTGTGTAGCTTGATGACATTGGGATGGTCACCAAACTCTTGTAGGAACATAATCTCTCTAAACGTCCGCTGAGGAAAGAAAGGGGTAAAGATGTCACAAAAATCATAAAGGACACAAATCATGAAAACTGGCACCTCACAAGCAGATAAACTGAAGTGTAGGTAAACTCAATATCAACTTGAGAAATCAATTTGTCCATCTGGAACTTAGATAAAGTTTCAAACAAAGCAAGAACAGGTATAGTCATAAAGGCTTGTGATCCAGAGAGAAGACATGCAAAAAAAAAAAATGCCCAAAAGAAAAACCAAATTACCTGTGCATCTGTCTGGTTCCTAAAAGCATCGAATATCTTTTTAACAGCCACAACTTCCCCAGACCTCCTGTCTATGGCCTTCCAAACAATTCCATACGCCTAGTGAGGAAAAAAAGATAAAAATCGTCAATGAGGATAAGACATGTGTATACATGAAACTGTTTCACAGTTGCTTCAAGACAATTTTTTTTAAAAAGGGAATACAGTAAACAGGTACAAGTATTTAAACTATTTTACTGGCAATAAAAATATCAAATATTATCACAGCAAGCACATTCCTTGGTTGAAACTTCATGCATTGCACAATGGGATCCTCCAAGTCCAAGGTAAGTTGTTCCGCGGTGAAACACCTGCAGATCTACCAGTAAAAAGCCATTTTTAAAAATGTTTATATTATAAGTGCATCACAAAAGTAGTGATGTCAAGATATACAACTCACAATCCTGAAAACAAAAACAGGTCTATATGTAACTGCTAGGTAAGCATGAAAATGCAAATATAATTACTTATCTTTTTAAACTATAGAGCTTAACTGCAAAATTTCTTCCCCATCTGTTGATTTAATTACATTTGCGAAGTGGCTAGCCTGAGTAAGTACGGCTAGACTGCCAGTCTACCCGTACTTAGATCTATGTTTGGCCAGGTATCGACTCGAACCTGTTGAGTACACAGGTCTCATTAGACTTGATCTAGTAGTTCTTCAGGTTTAAATAATGCAAGTCAGTAAGGCACCTTTTGGTTTTGTCTGAAATACAAATACTTTAGGCTTTGCAAACTACAAATTTCATTTACAATTCAGCCATCAAGTACGGCTAGCCTGCCAGTCTAGCCATACTTATCTTAGGCCTTATTAACATTAGAAAACAGGAGGTTTAAAATACATCCACTGTCATTAAGACACGGTTTCGTCTCAAATACAAATACTTTAGGTACTGCAAACTAAAAATTTATTTACAATTCAGTACGCCTTTTTTTATGGTCAGTCTAGCCATCTTATTCATATTAAGAATAAGTACGGCTAGCCCAGCTGTCTAGCCGCCATTAAGTACGGCTAGCCTCTTCCTTACATTTGCGTCCTGTGGTCCTATGGTCAATGATCATCGATATATGTGCACAAGGCAGTGCTGAATATTTACCCAAAAATGCATGCAATAGCTTAATACATATTATATTCTGAGAGAGCATTATATACAGACAAGACAAATCTGCATTAGCAGGGGTGTGTAATGATACAAGAACTGCAATAGGCCATGACTATGACGCAAAGGGAAATATGCAACAAAAGTTACTTTTAGGCAGGGTGCATTTCTCATAAATGAAATTATGAAACAGTATGAACTTAAACTGCCCGAGCTTTTCAGGAATCAGTCCCCATTTAAAAGAGGATAAGGCTAACGACCTCTTATTCAATTTAAGCCTATGTGAATGTGCCACAGCCACAGCATGACAATCACATCTTCTAAAACCTAGGATAGGAATAAAACAAAATGAATTGAATATGTCGTGTTCTAGTTGAGTACTTCCACAGAAATTCCCTGTTTACAAGTAGTAGTCGCTGTTAGAGTTTTCAAATTAGCATCAGGTAGGGTATGCTGCAAAAATGCATGCCGATCACAAATATGATAATAACAGCTGAGGGATTAGAACCAAACTTGTTATGACTGGTAGATTTACAGCAGGGTCAGAAAGCTGAATGCCAACTAAAAAAGATTGCAACGAGAGATGTAAGACAAGAAAAAAGCATATGTGTACTATGGAATCAATGTTCACTTACTCCTTTTCCAAGGCGCTTCTTTATTTCGTACTTTTTGGTGATGTGCGGCTCTATTTCGGAGCTCATGGTGGACACTTATAAAGGAACGCTAAGCCGACATTAATTTTGATCTGAAGGGCGGAAGTGGATCTTTGAAGAATGTCAATACCAACGGGATCTAGTTCCACACACTTTACTTTGCAACAGAATTAACGGACTTCAAACTGCAAGATAAATAGTATTTTCAGGACAATATGATTGATTATGCACTCCAAAACGAATATTACTAGGAATGTTTCCTTCTTCTAAATGGATTTCCCATGAGTAGTGATTTATCAGTAGTGAATTCTTTCATTCCATTGCCAAAATGTGACGTCAACATAATGTGTGTAAGCATGTGTTGTTGCCATGGTTCAATACCGGAACCATAATAAATCGAAATCGAAAGTAGCAAATGAGCATGTATACTTGTTTTCAGTCCAAATTGTTATGCTCCATTGTGAAACGTGGTGTTTATCCAAGCGAGTTGCGCTTTGTGAATGGGGCGACACATTGTTCCTTTCTTTTCCTCCAAGTCGTTTGTTACCATGGGCACAATGTGACTCCAGTCTTTAACGCTAAAATGAGTAATAAATGTACTCCGAACAGTATATTAATGAATGCCGCTATTGAGTTACGAGGG